ACCGACATCTAAGCTTTATACAGTACACCAACCTAGACAAACCCTCTTGCATTATGACAATGATAATAACACAGAAATATACGACAGATCACTCGACAACTATTCCCACTGTGAGAGGACAAACAAGATTGACTGGATGAGATGGCGAATAGTGTATTTCTTCATGGAGATGGCCAGTATTACTAGGAATTAAAGTTATTTTACAACAGATTACTAAATTTACGGTATAAAAACTATGTGTTACCTCGTTGGTTAGCATGTGCTCGTAAAAATGTACTGACTGACTACCTGGTGTCCAATCAAAGTCCCCATTACAGTTAAGTCCTACAGAAGGTCAATCGCAAGCCTGAATAGTTCAGTAGAAATGTCTCTGAGTGCAGCACCCTGGCTGAATGAAGTTAGGTTCGAATCTCAGAGAGGATATAAGTTCTTTCAAGATTGCAAACACACTGTGTCGACTGGTTGAATGCCAACAACCACGAAACCTACGTCAGACAGGGCTTTATGTCAGTCAGTCAGTCAGTTGCCTCCTACCATCTAATAACAACGTTAGAATCAATTATTGATTGGATTACAAGTCAAATGAACAGTCAGTCACCACATGTATTTCCTATCCTATTAACGTGTCATTAGAAAGTTCGGTTTCTGCCGTTTTTAAAAGTCGACTAATGCATTTTTCATCGTGTCAAATTTCTCAAGAGAAATGTACACATCATAACCTGCATAAACCGCAAAAATCTACACGTGATGTTTAACTAACAACTCATAAGACTCAGCAGGCAGTTAGTTGTGTGTTTGAGAAATCACATCACATCAACTGAACATCGCTGTTCATACTCTGACATGGTTAGACTTTCTATTAAGCTCAAGATGGTTATGTAGATAACATTTTCCTCATTTGTGACACGAATCAATTGTTAGTAGCATTTAACAACTGCCAGTCAGCAATTGAAATGGAAGACGAATCTAAAATTCCCTTAAATTTGATGTGGAACTAACAAAAAGACTTGACAGAACCTTAAGAAGGACAATCCATAGGAAACCCACTACGAACGGTCAACTAACCACTTTCTACAGTTGGGTCTCTGTTGAGCAGAAACGAAATTTAATTAAATCACTTGCTACTTAGATTCAACAGACCCGCAGTCGTGACGCCCAAGAAGCAGTATTAGAAGCCTTCATCTTAAATGGATACCCATCAAGATTCATTGATAACAATATCAAACCAAAAGTTCAGACGCACGAAACACTAATTGTTCCAAGAAAGGAACTTTACATGAACCTGGATTTCAAGGGAGACCTAAACTCTGATATCCTTAAGAGAATTTCAGCATCTATGGGATGAGCATTTCTCGCAACAACGTTGAGCGTAGTGTTGTCTCTCTGTTTTCGACATAGAACTATACACAAATGTGCGGAAGTTCAAGTCGCCACACTCCGTGTAGCACGCGAAGCAAGAGAGAAAAGTACAAGAAAAGCATAATAGAAACAGTGAGCAGAGGTGTGAGACAAAGGAGGAGTAATAACGAAGAACAAAACAGTTTCATTGGAGATCATAAGTCACAAGGAGTGGATGCATCTGCGCCAGCAGGCCGTTGAGAACGATTTTGAGCCATATCACCAATTGTTTCCAACTATTGGTTTTTACCGTCCCGAGGACCCCAGCCTGGAAGTCTACACCTTCCTATGTGGCTTAGACCAACTGTCGTGGATTTCATTGACTGGTGCCAAGTTTTTGTTTGACCACCGCTAGCTTTTTCCCAGCCTGACCCTATATCCGCTAACATTGCTCGTCGAGGGAGGCGATGGCTTGGCATACGTAACACATGTCCTAACCATCTCAGTCTTTGTAGCTTCACGACTTCGTCGATTGATTTCCCTGTTTACCTAGAACTCTACGCCTAACCTCAATGTTGCTCACCTTATTATGCCACTTTACACGGGAAATAGAGCGCAGGCACCTATGATCAAGGACAGCTAATCTTTTCATGTCTTCCACTCTCAGTGGCCAGGTCTCGCTCACAACCATAAAGGAGGACGGAGCGGACTGATGAGCAGTACACCCGCCCTTTGGTCGATAGTCGAACATCTCGTCTACGCCAGAGTCGGCGTAAACTAACAAATGCGAAACGAGCCCCTTGTATTCGTGCTGAGATTTCGTCAGAAATCAACCCGTTGGGGCTGATGGTACTTCCCAAATAAGTGAAGCGGTCAACGTGTTCTACCACTTCACTTCCTATTTTTAAACAAGGCGTCGATGTAGTCCAGTCCTGTAACATCATCTTACAAGCGTAGTGTAATCCAGAGGTTTGGTCTGGAGAGATCTGAAGGACAAGATCTCACGTCTGACCACTTCTAGGTGCATATATCAGTTCACCTGTAGCTAATGAACTAGATACATTGGTTGTTCGATGTGTCTCCTAGCCAATAGGGTTCAACGACACTACCCAGCATGGTTGGCAGTAGTGGCTCTGTAAGGGAATGCGACAACAGGACACCTTGCCAACACTAGTCATCCCATCTCAACAAACGCCTCCTACTTCAGAGTAATCTACAAAGTGAAGAACAACCTACGCCGAAAACAATACGCTTTCGTCTCCTTTGTATTTCTGAAGTTGAAGCCATTCATTTAGAGAAAGCGGAGCTATGCATACAGAAGAAAATTATTCAACCACTTCTACTATGGTGAGAGCTGGCTGCAAACAAGCCAAAATTGTAGACAACAATTTACGTCAATGCTCACGTCCCGAATCAGGGTCATGAGAAAAAAAACAATAATAAAGCTTAACCTTGAGAAAATCCCCAACCAATCACAGAGGAGTTAACGTGTGGAAATATAATTCGCAGATATATGGCTTAACTTTTGAGGAGCGGGAACAAGCAATACAAATAACCTTCAGCAAGAAAACAGCCAATCGGAAGACGCTGCTTCTCCACTGACAATAATATACATAAAAATCTATAAATACCTCTTGATTTTCTCAATAAATGATTTGCTGTTTGGTCCTTGTCTTCTGTTGTTACACTACTATCGTGATAACAACCTTGTTGATTTCCGCTGATTTGATTTTCGTTTGTTAGTTTTTCCCAACTCCTAACGATTATTATATTCCTATAGAATTCTTGCATAATTCCAAATTTTCCTTCGCTTCTACAAGTATGCCGATTATAAATCATTCGTTAAATTATCCATCTTATTACATAACCCCAGTAGAAGACTTATTCAGCTCCTTTTATGAACTGACTGATATTAACAACTATGATTGTGACAACTAATCAATCACTTTTGTTCCTACCTCTTCTTTTTCGCCTTTCTTTACTTAGGTTATCTCCTACGGGAGGATGAGCCGGCTTCAGGGAACATCTCAAATCATCGCTGCCCAGGCGCGGCGATCTGATGCAAGGTTTTGTTGCGACAGGATTATCCAATTCTTGTTCCACAGACGGAGTCCGTAGATGGTTTGTAGCCCCAGCCCAGGCACTCCATATCAGCCTTGACTGTCCCAAGCCATGTTTTCCGCTGTCCACCCCTGCGACATCGCCAAGATGGAAATGGCGAGGGATTTAGAACTGATTTGACCAGATCGTCATCTGGTCGGCGCAGAACATGGCCAAACCACCGAAGGCAACGTCGTTGGACCAGTCCTGGAATTTGGTTGATGTTGTAGAGAGCTCATGAAGTTTCATGGGAATTAGGTACGAGTGATGTCCCCAGAATCGCTCGGCCTTTAGTTTGAGAGTGCAGCTCTAGCCTTTACACAACCAAGTGTGACCTACAAGGCAGTAGGAGTGGAGTAGTGAGTCCACTATCCATTGGCAGCCGGTGACCGGAGTCCGGTTCATACACCTTTTTGAATGGGGCCAGACATCCAGGGCATCCAATAAGCCCTTTGTCCATACGTCTGCCGGTGAACTCTGGTGAGCTTCATACGCCAGTCGTTGGAGGTTTGGAATCAGGGTTTAGCCATCTCCCTAGACTGTCATCCAATGGACAGTCAACCCGGTGAAGAGCGCCGAGCATCCGCTTTTGCCCTCTCACTTCGGTGAGAAACACCTCCGCCACGCGAAGGCAGTGAGTAGGACTTCCTCAGGAGAGGCTATGTAAGACGCTCGGTCATATGGGAGCATTTCAAGAGGTGTACGGAGGGGTGGCCAACCCGCAGCGCAAGGCACCCACCCCCGACCATCCTGAGGCTTTGTTCCTACCCTCTTTCATGAAAAAGAGATTGTTTGTAAGTGCGATTGTACAGCTAAAGAAAAAAATGAATTCGCCGTAAAAAGATCCTCTCCGCCGAACTACGTGTTTCGTTCCTTCCATTATTAATGCTGTCGACCAGAGGGCGTCTGTACTGTTCAGCAGTTCATCAAATCCTCATTTATGGCTGTGAGATATAACCATTAAATGGGGGGGAGGGACATGAAAAGGCCAGCTAACTGTCTTTGATCTTAGATGTCTGCATTCAATCTCCCGTGTAAAGTGGTATCATAAAGTGAGCAATATTGAGGTTAGGCATCAATCGAGTGCTAGGCAGGTGGGAGGGGAAATCAATCGACGAGATTGTAAAGTTACATCGACTACATCGCCTTCCTCGACAACGAGAAATGTTAGCTGACATAGGATGGATCAGGTTGTTGGAAAAGATCTAACGATGGTCAAATCAAAACATGGTGGCATCAGTCAATGAAATTCATAACACAGTTAGTTTAAGCTAACCAGCCACACAGGAAGGTGTAGACTTTCTGACTGTTTGGTTAGGGTCCTCAGGATTCTAACTATCACTGGTTGGAGACAGATGATGATATGGCTCAAAATCGTCCTCAATGGATAGTGTGGATACATTCACTCTTTGTGATTTATCATATCACCCAAAAAATGCTATTGTTCTTCCATATTACTATTCTTTTTGCCTCATATTTCTGTTTATCTCCCTCTCTCTCTCTACTGTCTTCTTTTGTTTTGTATACTAAAGTAAGGGAAAGTGGTAACTCAAACTACTGCACCTCTCTGTAAAAGGTTTTACGTTTAAAACAATCAGTCAGTCTGTCAGTCCATTATTATTATTGTTCAAATGGGGATTATTTTTACGCATTTCTTATAACTTTCAAACTTTACTAACAAGATTAAACAGAATCACAACATCGGGGGAATAAAAATAGAAGGATTTTACTTTTGAATGTATATTACAATTTTATTTATTTCAACGATACGACACCAGAAAGTTACCAATTTGCTTCACGTTGCCAATAGTCTAGAGGAAGACAAATAACAGGGAAAACAGGAAGGTGAAATGTGAATGTGTAGGTTGTTAAAGGTAATAATAATAATAATAACAACAAAAAATATGCATAATCCCTGTATAACATTTTTTTTCCATGTTAGAGGGATTTTCACTGTGTGTAAAGCTCAAAACATTTGAACATGAAGAATGAAGGAATTTGAGTCACTGCAGTCGATCTTTGCTCCTTGATGAAGACTCTGATAAAATTGGATTCTACTGAATACTATGGGTAGAAATCATTGAGTCTTTGGTATACACGATTTGTTCCTTTCAAATGTATGATGAGGCCTATACCGACTGGAGAAAATGCAGTTCTAGCTTAAAGCTGGACATGAGTTAAGTGGTAGAGAGTGTTATTAGGTAGCTACATCAGCGCCAACGGACTAATTTCTGACAAAATCTCAGCATAGATACGATACAGCATCAATCGTATAGGCGTATTATCTATCAAGCTAACTATTGAAGGACGTGTGTCCCGCTCAGCAGTACACCCAATCCTCCTATATGGCCATGACATATGAGAAGGCTAACTACCACCAATCAGTATAGGCGTCTACATTCTGTCTCTCGTGTTAAGTGGCATAATAGAGTGATCACTACTGAGTTGGTTAGGCGTCGAGTGTTAGACAAGTCAAGGAGAGAAGGCATATCGATATGGTTGTGAAGCTAAATCAACTGAAGCGGCTAGACACATGTGTGTAATGCATACCTAGCTAGGTATCGCCTACCTTGACAATGCACAATGTTAGCTGGCTGACATAAGATCAGGTTGAAAAAGAGCTAATGGGCGAAGTTAAACTTTCGACACCACTAACTACCAGGAAGTGAAGTGGTAGAGCACGTTGACCGCTTCACTTATTTGGGAAGTACCACCAGCCCCAACGGGCTGATCTCTGAAGAAATCTCAGCACGAATACAAGGGGTTCGTTTCGCATTTGTTAGTTTACGCCGACTCTGGCTTAGTAGACGAGATGTTCGACTATCGACCAAAGGGCGGGTGTACTGCTCATCAGTCCGCTCCGTCCTCCTTTATGGTTGTGAGCGAGACCTGGCCACTGAGAGTGGAAGACATGAAAAGACTAGCTGTCTTTGATCATAGGTGCCTGCGTTCTATTTCCCGTGTAAGGTGGCATAATAAGGTGAGCAACATGGAGGTTAGGCGTAGAGTTCTAGGTAAACAGGGGAAATCAATCGACGAAGTCGTGAAGCTACAAAGACTGAGATGGTTAGGACATGTGTTACGTATGCCAAGCCATCGCCTCCCTCGACGAGCAATGTTAGCAGATATAGGGTCAGGCTGGAAAAAAGCTAGCGACGGTCAAACAAAAACTTGGCATCAGGCAGTGAAATCCACAACAGTTGGTCTAAGCCACGTAGAAAGGTGTAGACTTCCAGGCTGGGGTCCTCGGGACGGAAAAAATCTATGGTTGGAAACAATTGGTGACATGGCTCGAAACCGTTCTCAGTGGCGCAGATGCATCCACACCCTGTGACTTATGATCTTCAATGAAACTGTTTTGTATTTCTTTATTACTCCTTTGTCTCACACCTCTGCTCACTGTTTCTATAATGCTTTTCTTGTACTTTCTTCTCTTGCTTGCTTCGCGTGCTACACGGAATGTGGCGACTTGAACTTCCGCACATTTGTGCAAAGTTCTATGTCGAAAACAGACAGACAGACAGAACTACCAATCAGCGAATTATCCAATGAGATTCACGAACGATGTCGAATTATCCAATGAGGTTCACGAACGCAGTTCAATGTTGTATAGCGCTTGAATCATTTCTAATGCGTGACCTTACAAGGCTATTGTTGCAATTCGAGGAGGTTAGTGTTTTCCAGTATTTCCTAGATTTGAGTTGCTCCGGAAAGAACGAATTTGATTGTGTGGTGGTATCATGACTTTAAAAAGCTATACCAAATCAACTGATGGGTTTGTTCATCGTTGTGCTATATGTTTGAAGCCTACTAACACTAGAGAGGGTACGCTGATAATTTTATTATTTCGTAGGAACTTTTTTCGCCAGGTCGCTTCTCTCCCTAAGGATAGCAGATAGAAAAGCAACTACTCTTATACCTATTGTTACCAGAATTGTTAAGCGGGGGTCAATTATACACACGGAAAGGCTACAGTTCGCTGTCATCTCTGGAATATATTTATCATAGAGACAACCATTCAAGTGATTTTGTGGATCCCGTTACGAGGACAAATACAAATTCTAATGAAGGATTTTGGGGCAGGTTGGAAAATAGGATAAGGGCTGTAAATGTATCTCAAAAGGATCTCATTTATAGTCATTTGGATGAATATATGTACAGGATATGGTGTAACTTCTCCATTGACAGTCCCATGCTAAACTGGGAGATTTTTCTCTCACATGTTTGAGAAAGATATCCCATGTAACCTTTTTTATTATCTATTTTATGCTTTTTTTCTATAAATATACATTTCCATTCATCATATATGCCTCTTTAATGTGATTGGTCCGTTCGAGGTCGTTTGCTGATTGGTTGTTAGTGGTGTCGAAAGTTTAACTTTGCCAGCTAATGGTGGTCATGCAGAGAAACAGTCTATGAAATTCTTGACAGTTAGTTTAAGCCAGCGATGTAGGCAGGTTTAGGCTACCTAGTTGGAATTCTGGAGAATACCAAGAACCACCAATGGCTGGAGACTGTCGTCGATGATATGACTGAAAATCGTACTCATTGACGCCGCAAATGAATTCATGATTTCCGATATCCATGTCAATATTCTTTCTCCCTTCATATTTCTGCTTATTAAAGTCCTTTTGAATTCCTCTTTTCTCTCTCTCTCTCTCTGTCTCCCTTTCTTCTGTCTTTGTCTGCTACATGTGGAGTGTGGCAATTTGAAGTGGTGCATTTTTATGTGCCACATTCTATGTAGAAACAAAGTCAGACAGTCAGTTTGTGTCTGTCTGTTTTCGACATAGAACTTTGCACCGACGTATGGCAGTTTGAGTCGCCACACTCCCTCCATGTAACACACAAAGCAAGAGAAGAAAGTACAAGAAATCCATAATAGAGACAGTAAACAGAGATATAAGACAAAGGAATAGTTATAACGAAAAACAATATAGTTTCATTGGAAATCACAATTCACAAGGAGTAGATGCATCTGCGCTAGCCATTGAGAACGATGAGTTTGAGCCATATCACCAATTGTTCCCAACTATTGGTTTTTACCGTCCCGAGGACCCCAACCAAGAAGTCTACACCTTCCTACGTGGCTTAGACTAACTATTGTAGATTTCATTGACTGGTGCCATGTTTTGGTTTGACCATCACTAGCTCTTTTCCAGTCTGACCCTAAGTCAGCTAACATTATTCATCTGTCGAGGAAGGCGATGACTAGGCATACGTAACACATATCCCAACCATCTCAGTCGATGTGGTGAGAGCAGGCTGTTAGCCAATTGGTAGACATTAATGTCTAAGTCTCTAATATTGGTCGTGAGAAAATATGAACAAGACTGAGTCAACAACTAATCACAGCAGACTTAACGTGTGCAAATACGATATATGGCTTAACTTTCTAAGAAACCAGTCACAAGCAGTACAGAATAACCTTGAGCGAGGAAACAACCAATCAGAAGACGTTGCTTCTCCGCTGACAATAATATACATAAAAATCTATAAGTATCTGTTGATTTTCTCAATAAACGATCTGTTGCCTGACTCTTGTCTTTTGTCGTTATATTTTCACAGCCTCGTCGATTGATTTCCCCTCCTTACCTAGAACTCGACGCCTAGGTCAGTTTGTGTATGTGAGGTAGCTTTTCGACCACCAGTGTCTACTGATTGGAAGTCAAACACCTAGACCGAAAGTAATAATAATATTCATGTAGAAACAAATTATATCATAGTTTTTGGAGTGCGCATGCGCATTTCTAGCCGAAAATTTAGACAGTCCAGTAAAGTATGTATGGATTTTTACACTGTAGCCTGTCAACAAATTAAGACTTCTCTATCTCTCTCTCTCCGGCGTGTCTGTCTGGATTCAACATAGAACTTGGCACCGAAGTGCACCAGTTCAAGTTGCCACGTTCCAAATAGCACACAAAAGTAGACAAGAAGATGAGTGAAGAGAATCAATAGAGTTTGACAAGTATAAGAGTGAAACAGAATCGGTAGTGGTAAAAAGGAATATGAAAGATCACAGAGACTGAATACATATGCGCTGGCCATTGACAACGATTTTGAGCCATGTCACATGTTGTCTCCAGCCATTGATTCCTAGAGTCCCGAGGGCCCCAACTCGGAAGTCTGCATCTCCCTACCTGACTCAGTTCAACTGTCAAGGATTTCATGGATTGATGAGGCCATGTTTTTGTTTGGCCACCACTTACTCTTTTCCAACCTGCCCCTATCTATATCAGCTAGTAACGCCCGTCGGGGGAGGCGATGGTTAGGCATGCGCACGCAGCACGAGACCTAGCCATATTAGTCTATGTAACTTTATAGCCTCGTCGATTGATTTTCCCTCTCTGCCCAACACTCTACGCCTAACGTCAACATTAGTTACCTTATTATACCACCTAACGTGAGACAGAGATCGCAGACATCTATGATCGAAAGCAGTCAACCTTTTCATGTATTCAACGCGTATTGGCCATATTTCAGAGCCATAGAGAAGGACGGAGCGAACTGCTGAGCAGTACACACGTCCCTTGGTTGATAACCGGATGTCTCCGGCGTGTACTAACTGTGAAATTCATGTCATTATTATTCCATATTAGACAGGTTTACTTTTAAATGTGACACAGTGATGATGCAGTATTAACAACTGGGTGACAAGATTTCGAGCATAAATTGTTACTGCCCACAATCCTATCGATTTTATTCACACGGTTTAACAATTTGTTTAATACACACATATTTTCTCTCTTTCTCTCTCCAACTTCCAGTTTGTTGTTTGTTACCAGTTTCCATCCTTTGCGTCATCCCGATTGCACATGTAAGGTGTTGAATCGATAAACAAAGCTTCGGCGATTAACCTTTCCCTCTCTCTCTCTCTCTCCCTAACTATATTACTTTTTAATACTCTCATCGTGTCCCACCCACCTTATTTTGTGATTACATGCAATTGAATGTAGTGCAATACCTGAGCTGTGTTTTTTCTAGGTTATTCAACTTAGCAAGTTCAATCCTTCTATGTTTAGCTGCGTAAGTTTTTATATTCCAATAATCTAGTTGACCCTAGACTACTAGTTTGACTCATCTACATAATTAACCTCACTAACAGTCATTACATCCTGGTGTTTGGTAAATTATATTATTTTTCTTAATTGGGTCTATTGGGCGAGTCCTTAAGCCGAAAAAGTTTATCTTTGAGAGAGTTGGTTGGTTGGTTGATTGAAATACCAACCTAATTCCAGCCTCATTGACTCCTACGTAAGACAATAATTTATGCTCGAAACATTGTCATCTAGTTGTTAATACTGCATCATCACTGTGTGACAGTTAAAATAAACTTATCTAGCATGGAATTACATTCTACCTCAGTACCCAGGAGCCGATCGCTCAACAAATATGTTATGAGAGAAAGTAGAAATGGATCGGGCATACATTGACGAGGCCACCGAATAACATCGCACACCAGGCCAATGCTTGAGTAGAATCCAAATGGAAAGCGATGAGTGGGTCGTCGGTGCAACGATGAAATGGAGGAGATCGTGTGAGTTGGAAAAGATGAAAGAGTTTGGTCAATCGTGGACCCAGCTGAAGAGGACGGCAGAAAACAGAACAAAGTGGAGATATGTTGTTGAAGCCCTATGTTCCATTCGGAACGGCAGGGAATTATATATATATATATATATATATATATATATATATATATATATATATATATATATATATATATAATAATTTATATATATATATATATATATATATATATATATATATATATATATATATATATATCCTATCTGCTTCATTTCGTCGTTTAGGTCTTTTGTTGTACTGCTTAGCGTTGTTATTGCTCGGTTTGTGAAACTCTTAACGACCAAGCCTGGCTTCACAGACAGTCAACGGATGAGATGAATTAAAGAAGTCTAAATATCTATTAGCAGAATATGTTGATTTTTTATAAACGCTAGTGTGCAGTTTACCTTCTTCTATTCGTTTATATTTTACAACCTAACATCATGGCTAATTTTTTCTTGTTCATTTTGCGAATTAAGTGTGAATTTTATTCCCATTTACTAGTGAGTTTATGCATGTGTGAAGAAGCTAGAGAGAGATAGGTTTTGTGTTTAACACTGTGAAAGTGTCATCCAAATATATCTCCACCATATTCTTGGAGTAGGATTAAATGTATTAAGAGCAATATTTTCCCAGCTGTCTGTAAAGGTATCCGCTACGATGGGGGATATTGGTGATCTATCCCATTGCTACACCTTCTGTTTGTCTACATATATATATTGTGCCCTGGAATTTAAAGATATTAAATGCTACCAATCAAGTCAAGCTATGAAGAATACTGAAATCATATAAAAACGAAGCAAGAAAGTTGTATGAGTACTGTCTTGATATGATGATTATGAGCAGTAATAGATTGTGCTCGAAACGTTGTTATTATCAGTGAATATTACTTACTGCATAACACCACTGTGTGAAGAAGCTTTATCAAAAATAGAAATTTTTACCCACATTGAAATTTATACTCTACCACCACAGTGCTCAACCAAGTTCTTACTGACTGACTGACTGACTAACTGGTTTCAACGTAGAACCTTGCACCGATGTGCAGCAGTTCGACTCGCCAAACAGCACTCAGCACACAAAGTAAGAGAAGAAAGTAAAAAGAAACGCAACGCAGAGACAGTGAAGACAGATATGAGGCAAAAGGAATAGTAATATCGAAGAACAATATGGCTTTATTGGGTATTACAAGTCACAAGGAGTGGAAGCATCTGCGCCACCCGTTGAGAACGATTTTGAGCCATATCACCAATTGTCTCCAGCCATTGGTTTTTCCCTTAATATTGCTCACACTATTACAACACTTCAAACGGGAGATAGAACGCAGGCACCTATGATCAAAGACAACTAGTCGGCCTTTCCATGTCTTCCACTTTCGATGGCCAGGTCACACAGATATAAAGGAGGACGGGGGGGGACTGCTGAGCAATACACACACCCTTTGGTCGACAGTCAGACGGATATGACGTCTGTGCCAGAGATGGTGTAAAGTGGCATGTGCGAAACCAGCACTCTGTATCCGTGCTGAGATCTCGTCAGCGACCAACCCGCTGGCGTTGGCTGATACGAATTCCCAAATAAGTGAAGTGGTTAACGTGCTATACCACTTCACCCTCTATTTCTAGGCTAGGAGTCAATGTAGCCCAGTTCTGTAGCCTCATCTTATATTTGGTGGGAGCGACTCGCACGCCACACATTCGCAGATTGCAACTCAAGGCATTCAGAAGACTGCATTTTGTCAGCGTCTTCACCTAAAAGTACTATATTATCTGCATATTTTAAGTCAACGAGATTATTCCCTCCCTGGTAACAAGTAAATCCCTGACTCTCTGAAGTGTGAGTTAGGGTTAATCCCATTAGTACATGTATGATGAAATTGAATAAAAATGGGGATAGTGAGTTGGCATCCCTCTCGGACACCACTAGTTGTCACCAATTCAGATGGCAACCAAGTTCCATTCTCATATACACATATATATCAACTAACTCACCTGTCTAGTTTATGTCCTTGATTCCATTTCTTTCCAATAACCAATTTTGGTTTTGTCAAGTTTACAGGTGGTGCTGTAACCACTTCATTGAATTTCACTTCATCTATAACACATAGGCAGAGGTGTTAATTAGTGCAGCATACACTATGCAAAAAAGAAAAGCAAACCTTTCAAGTGTTCGAAACCTGTTAGACGTTTTTCTATAGCATATACACGTTTCAATTTCTGTTTTTCATTTAAACGCCTAAAATAATTTAAAAAAATAAAACATTAGATCATGAGAAATATTAAAAAGACGCTTAATAGGCAGACAGACAGATAGCAGTGAAGCAAAAATTTACTTTTCAACGAAGTCAACCATCAGCTTCATTCATTCACAACTCTCCCCTTGTACCTCATCAGTCAGGCAGACCAAAAGCCTATATAGAAAACTATATGCTCGCACTAGAAAGTACAAAAACTCATCCATACCCTACTTGGTTGGCTCGTGTTCTGTGCGATAAAGAAAGCATTAGGCGTGAGACTTATAACTTACTAAATAGTCAGTAGAACAACTGGATGAGTGATAATGTTCCCACCGAGGCTCGAACCCAGTGCCCATAGTTTCAAACGTCAAACCATTATCCACAAGACCCCACTTGGGCCATGATAGCCACCTCTTTTTTGTGCGACGGTTCATACTAACTGTTTAATTGAATCTTTAGACTTTCCCATCGATTGATTGAACTGAAAAGCTGCTCGGTCTCCGGTTGACATGTCGGCTTCTTGTGCAGATGCTTTGACAACGACGTCTGGGCATGTATAATTAGAATTTAAAGGGATAGACGGTGGCGGGAAAATCTTAAATTCAATTAAAAATCTTTCTGTTTTTTGTTTTCTGTTATTTACGTTTTTAAATCTCCGTTTACACTGCTACCGTTTTTTATCTAAACTTCCTGCCTGTTTTTCTAGTCTTCAACGAATGGAGTATTCGTATATTGAGTCATAAGAAAAAGAAGACGTAAACAGTGAAGAAAATCTCCTTTTCGAAGATTCGTGTTCATAAGCTGGCACTATCGTAATTATATTTTAACGAGGAACTCATAAGTCTAATCAGATACTGGTAAAATTTGTCCTAGAAAATGGATTACATGGTGTAAGGTGTAGAGTCTAGACGAAGACGACTAATTGGAAATTAGCACAAGTGGCAGACAGCAGATGGGATGACGTAATGTGTGTGAGAAAATGACTCATCGGCATAATCGTGTAGAGCGGACAGAAACTAGTGTGGAACGTTGGTAATTGTTGGTATTAGATGGTTGTATGCGATTGGCAGGAAGCTTTACCTCTATTATGCACTCGTCGCCAAATTATTGTTATGTACTGGTCGAGAATTTAATAGTCCTGACGCAAGGAAGACGGAAATCAGAAGACCACTAGGTTTGCGATGATACTTCTATTTTCCAGACACAAGGAGAATCAAAATGTCACACAAGAGTGTGAGAGCAAAAATATATATGAATGTCCGAACAAGTGTGAGAGCGAATATTCAAAATGAACAAATCAATAGACAGTCTTAACATGATTGGCTAATTATAATGGAATATCGATCCATATATACATAGCAAAATATATCAGACTGTCAAACAAACACACATATTAAATATAATATGAGGGGAATATACATTGTTAAAGGAGACAGGTTCATCAAAGCGAAATGGTCACAGACTAAGAGAGCGACAGAAAGAGAGACCACCATATATATATATATATATATATATATATATATATATATATGGATACATATCAACCTCACCTAGGTTTTTTGTACTAGCCGTCACTCACCAGTCAGTCAGTCAGCGAGGCGTATCTTTATCCTTGAAGGAACTCAAGTATCTTCTGAGATTCGAAACTGCATCACCCAGTGAGCTTTGCAGTCAGAGCTATTCCGGTTCGCGGTTGACCTCCTGTAGGACTGTATTGGATACTAGTCAGTAACTAGTGCAATACTGTGCGTCGGTGGTATAGCGGTTAGGACGCTTGCCAACCATGCACATGGTCCGGGGTTCAATCCCCGGCCACAGACGCACTCCTTTACCTCGCTAAACCAGAAATAATGCTGGTAAAGAGGATAGGTTGGGCATGAGGCTAGCAACCCCATCCTGTAAAAAACCAAAACACTGCTACAGAAACTTCAAGCCACCAGCTTGAAGCCCTATGTTCCACTGAGGAATGTGAAGGAAGAAGTGCAATAGAAACAATTTACAGTTCACCGTGATTGCGAGCCACCTAGTGGCATAGCGGCCACATTGCAAACTTGACTGATAGAATCCAGTCTACTCCAAAGACAAGACTAGACACACACACACACACATTACACTAGTTACTGACCGGTGTCCCATCAAAAATGTCTTCATAAAATCTGTATGAAAATGCGATGTTATTAGTAAACAATAATAGAGTGATAATAATATAAGGGTGATGAGAATAACAATAATATTAGTAATAATAATAATAATAATAGTAAACTTACCTAATAAAATGACGGAAAACTATAGTAAGAACGTTACTCTGGCCACGGTAGGGCGAGCCATTCCCTTCTAGGTTACACCTTACCGACCCGAGGACCCCAGCCTGGAAGCCAGTCTACACCTTCCTACGTGGCTTAGACCAACTGTTGTGGATTTCATTGACTGGTGCCAAGTTTTTGTTTGACCACCGCTAGCTTTTTTCCAGCCTGACCCTATATCCGCTAGCATTGCTCGTCGAGGGAGGCGATGACTTGGCATACGTAACACATGTCCTAACCATCTCAGTCTTTGTAGCTTCACGACTTCGTCGATTGATTTCCCCTGTTTACCTAGAACTCTACGCCTAACCTCAATGTTGCTCACCTTATTATGCCACTTTACACGGGAAATAGAACGCAGGCACCTATGATCAAAGACAGCTAGTCTTTTCATGTCTTCCACTCTCAGTGGCCAGGTCTCGCTCACAACCATAAAGGAGGACGGAGCGGACTGATGAGCAGTACACCCGCCCTTTGGTCGATAGTCGAACATCTCGTCTACGCCAGAGTCGGCGTAAACTGGCAAATCTGAAACGAGTAGATATGTAGGAGAAAATGGAGATGAATTGATCATGCATACACCACTGAGGAAGCCGTCGAATGACATCACGCGCAGTGTTAACCAGTGCTCGAGTGGAATCACAATGGGAAGCGATGACTGGGTCATCAGTGACTTGGAGGAGATCGTGCGAGATGGAGGGGATGAGAGATTATGCACAATCTAAGTGACAGTCAGCTGAAGGGGACAGCACAAAATGAAATAAAGTGGAGATGTGTTGTTGAAGTCCTCTGTACCCAAGGGAATAAAATAATAAATCAACTACTTATATATATATACACACAAATACACGGTCTAGTTGATGACTTCATTGGAAAGAAAATTTTCGCTTCACTGTTATCTGTCAGCCGTCTTTTCTCACATAAAATGCAAAAATGTGTGTGTGTGCGCGCGCACGCATGACATTACCTCACTGCTTTCTTTTTCTTCTTACTCTTTTTCACTTCCGTAGTAGTAATCAGCTCTGCCTATTTAAAAAAAAATCGATCAATATTTTTGATCGATCGGCGACATTACTTTTTGTTTTCTTGCAAATTCCACTCTGTTCAACTCGTCTTCAACTTCTTTGTGAACGCGTCCCAGGTAATGAGCATCCGACTCGTATTTGCCTTGTTTCAGCACAGGAACAGGATCATCTTTCTTTTTCATGCCTTTTGTATCTCCAACAGCTAAAATTCATAAAATAATAATAATAAATTTTCGATAATTCCCTCTTCTTGCTCTACAATTATATTGTATTGTTAATATACACAGAATATTAGAGATTTAATTGGTGGATGGTGACTAGCAGTGGAATCCAGTATGCGCATTTCGTCCTATTTAGGACTCGTCAGCTGGATGTACCTGCATTTCTCAGTGAGTGATGACGTTCCCACCTGAGACCGAGCACTTCGCTCCAATCAATCGACGGGAAAGTCAAAAGTTCAATTCAAGAATATTAGATAGTTGGAGGCAATCAGCCACAAGAAGCCTTGCTTGACCTAGATTTCGTGGTAGTTGGCACTCGGCAGCAAGGCATATCTGCAACCTTCAAGGTTAGTAACAAGGTACTAGTGTCCAATCAAAATAAATACATTACTTCATATATTTAATCCTCCTTATGAACTTGAATAAAGCAACTGGTTTCAGGTTGATGAAGGTGTATCTAGCCCTTCCAATACTCACCTACCACATTGACATCTTCATCTGTGGTATCCGCCTGTAGTTGAAACAATACTTCTTAGATTAAATGGAGGCAGGAGGTAACCTGTGTTAAATCTCTTCCACTGATGGTGATTGGTGCTCACTGTCGTTGTTGTTGTTGTGTTTCGTTCGTTATCTTCATCACCTCCATCTTCTCTATGTTCACCTGGAGTCCTGCCTTCACTGCCTACCTCGCCTCTTCAGCCAGTCTGTTGGTTTTCACCTGTAAGACTTCGGCTTTGTGTGTGACACATCAGATATATATCATCTGCCAAATTTAGATCCTCCAGAGTCTTCTTATCGTTTAGATCAGCGTATTCCTGTCTCCTCGCTCCCAAATCACAGTCTGACGAATAATCCAGTCCACCACAATTAATAATGTCATCGGTGATAATAGGCAGCCAGCCTTGTCTTATCCCTGTATGCACTTAGAACGCCTCGCTGAGTTTCCCAATTGAGGATCACCTGACACTTGGCATTGTCATATAGCAGCCAGCTGTTGAATGAGGTTGATAAAGACTTGAGTCACTTCAGACCGTAGTGTTGAAATAGTTTCCAAATTACTTCTCGGTCAACGCTGTCTGTCGAAGACCTTTTCGAAGCCAATAAAGTTGAGGTAGAGGTTTGACACCGTATTCAGCGTCGGCGACACAGCGGTAGGATACTCGCTAACCGCTTAGATGCTCCGGGGTTCGATCCCCGGCCTACAGGACGAAACCTAGGTCAGACAAGGCTTCCTGTGGCCGACTGCCTCCAACTATCAAATACATCATCAAATCAATGTGTGCACCGTGATGGTGACAGCCACCTAGTAGCATGGTGGTCACACTGCAAACCTGACTGATTGATAGAATCCAGTCTGCACCAAAGAAAAGAATAGACACATCACACTAGTTACTAGTATCCAGTGTGAAAATACATAGAATATTCTAGTATAATCGTTATTAAAAATATTGGCGGTTTTTTAAATATTAACGATTTGTCAAGTTCACAATGAAATCACGACAGTTCACAAAAGATGTGTAAATTATAATAAGCATAAAAATGTAACGGCAAATAGAATATCAAATAAAATAAAGGAAATGTCCACAATAACAAATTAAGGATCAGAAGAACTTTGATGGTCGAGGTAAGTACGGGGAGTGTCTGAACCAACTTCTTCTTTTGGATACATGAGTTGGGTTTCTTAATGAACATCCCAACGGCCAGCCTCAGCAATATTTAATAATCGAACTCTTAAGGTGAATTTAAGATTAACTGGTATACGGTAGATCACTTTGAAAGCCACCTTGTTAACATCAATCTTGTGTTCTGTATTCACAAAGTGAAATGCAATAGAGTATGAATGGATTTTGTTTGTCCTTTACCTAACTACGCAGAATAGTGAGTTTTTTTAGTCAGATTGCCGAACATCATCCTGCCTCGTTGGTTAAGTAAAATGGGCAAACAAAATCTATTCACACATAGCGCTCTTCTATCTCATCTTGTGGATACAAAACACACGATTGATGTTAACCAGGCGGCCTTCAGGGTCATTTTCCGCATAACAACAAATCTCAATATCGCCTTAAGAGTTCGATTGCTAAATACTGCTGAGACTGGCTGTTGGGATCCACCACATTAAGAAGCCTAATTTGTGCGTCTAAAAGTAGCTAGTTCAGACATTATCCTTACCCGCTTGGCCATCTAGGTTCGAATGATCCTGAATTTGTTATTGTGGAGGTTTCCTTAATTTTATTTCAATATAGCGAAAATATTCATTCAGACATCTATAAAATACAAAGTAATTGAGTGAGCAAAGTATATTCTTTTCGATAATTTCCTCTTCCAGGCTCTACAATTATATATACGTATATGTATATATACATAGAATATTCTAGATTAGTAGTTAATAACAATACTAGTGTTTATTTTTAAATAATATCGATTTGTTAAGTAAGATCACGAAAATAAGTGAGCGCGCGCTTTTCGACTATTACGCTACATTTTGGTCATAAATAAAATATCTTATTACTCTAAAATTTTATGCAAAGTGTTTGCGGAAATTATCACAATTATTAACCTTTCGAACACTGAATCCAAAAAATACAATCTTATTGACAGATAATACACATAACTCACTGTTTGGATTTGTGGAATTTTTAAACATAAACACATCTATAATTGTATATATTGTTGGATTTATATGTTCAAGTTGCTCCAAGTCAGTGAGTTTATGGTTAAGATATCATTTTAGTTACATATACTGAACTATATTGCATGTTGTCTTATTGTATAGTTGTCGTCGCTTTTTGCCCTTTTTTGTGTGAACTGTTTCCTTTGTTGATGTTGTTCTCATTGTTTGTCCGTTATTTTCTGATTTTGAGGGGAGCAACCCAAAAAGTTGCTTCTCTCTAAACTTTTACTTAATGTAATCATTCTTTTCTCAGGCGTGAGGCTAGCAACCCCACCCTGTAAACAAAAATTGCTACAGAATCTTCAGTATGCTGAACCTCCTTGCACCAAAAGAAAAAGTCTGTGTAGGAACATGGAACGTCCGAACTATGTACGAGACTGGAAAAGCTGCCCAGATCGCCAACGAGATGAAAAGATACGGAATACAAGTGCTGGGAATATGTGAGAGCAGATGGAATGGGAGTGGACTCACCAAATTGTCAACAGGTGAGTCAGTGATCTACTCCGGTCACCCAGAAGATAACCACACGCACACCGAGGGCGTGGCTATCATGATGTCACCAACGGCAACGAAAGCCCTGATACAATGGGAGGCGATTTCGTCCAGGATAATGACCGCCAGGTTCAACTCCAAAGGAAGGAAAGTGTCAATCATACAATGTTATGCACCCACAAACAACGCAGACCTCGAGAAGAAAGAAGAATTCTACAGGCAACTACAGGCAACAATGGACAATACTCCAGCTGGCGACATGAAAATACTAATGGGAGACATGAACGCCAAACTGGGACCAGACAATACGGGAAGGGAACTCATCATGGGTAGAGAAGCTCTAGGAGAAATGAATGAAAACGGAGAACTCTTCGCCGACTTCTGCGCCTTCAACGAACTGGTGATTGGTGGCAGTGTATACAAGCACAAAGATATCCACAAGGCTACATGGGTGTCACCAGACGGGCAAACCAAAAACCAAATCGACTTCATCTCAATCTCAAGGAAGTGGAGGCGCAGCCTACTGGACACAAAAGCAAGAAGAGGAGCAGACGTTGGCTCAGACCACTATCTCGTACAAGGGACAATCCAAATCAAATTAAAAGCTTTCAGGGAATCAGGAGCTGCAGATAGACCACAAGCCAAGTTCAACACTCAAAAGCTGAAGGACCAGGCTACAAAGGACATCTTCATTGCAAGCATAAAGGACAAAGCCGAGACACAAATCAACACTAGCGAAGAGGTCGGCGTTGAAAAGCACTGGAACAACTTGAAAACGGTGTGGAGCCAAACCTGCATAGAAATTCTAGGCAGAAAAAAGAGACAGGACAAACAGTGGCTCACTACGGACACTTGGAAACTAATAGAAGAGAGAAGGACAGTGAAGCAAAAGATTATCCAGTGCACGGACGAGCAACAAAAACAGGAGCTGAATGCAAGCTACAATACACTGAACAAAAGAGTGAAGAAAAGTGCCAGGGAAGACAAAAGAAAATATTATGAAACCATGGCAAACGAAGCAGAACAAGCTGCAGGCAAAGGAGACCTCGCCACACTCTACCAAACAACTAGGAACCTTTCGGGCAAACGTTCGACACAGATTAAGCCAATAAAGGACGACAATGGAAAGTCAATCACCAAAGAGGTGGAACAGAGAAAGCACTGGGTTGAACACTTCAAAAGACTTCTAAATCGTCCGCCACCTACAACACGTCCAGCAATACCAACAACGGAAGCAGAACTACCAGTGAACACTGACCCCCCGACGAAATCAGAAGTCCTGAATGCAATCAAGATGCTTAAAACTGGGAAAACACCGGGACCAGATGGAATCCCAGCAGAGGCTTTGAAAATAGACCCAGAGACAACAGCGGACTTGATGACACCACTACTGGAGAAGGTGTGGAAAGAGGGCAAAGTACCCGAGGATTGGAAGAACAGTTACTTATTCAAACTTCCAAAGAAAGGAGACTTAAGTCAATGTAAAAACTGGCGTGGAATTATGCTTCTGTCCATTCCAAGCAAGATACTAAGTCGCATCATCCTGGAGAGAATCAAACAAGCCCTAGATGAAAAACTTCGTCCGGAACAGGCTGGATTCAGGAGAAACAAATCATGTATTGATCAAATCGCCACTCTACGGATCATCATTGAACAAAGCTTGGAATGGCAGTCACCTCTCTATCTCAACTTCATCGACTTTGAAAAGGCCTTCGACAGCGTCGATCGAGAGGTCATTTGGAAACTACTTCGCTACTACGGGGTCCCATCGACAATTATACACCTCATCCAACAGTTATACGACAATGCTGCATGCCAAGTAATCCACAACGGGAAACTTACGGAAGCCTTCGAAGTGAGGACGGGAGTGAGGCAAGGCTGTCTACTATCACCAATGATCTTCCTGATTGCAATTGATTGGATAATGCGACAGACAACGGCAACCAACGAGGGAACAGGCATAAAATGGACTGACACAAAAGACTTGGAGGATCTGGATTTCGCCGATGATATATGTCTGATTTCCCATAAACTGGAAGATATGCAAATGAAAAGTAACAAGTTGGCAGAAGAAGCATCAAAGATAGGACTTCACGTGAACATAGATAAAACAGAGATGATGAAGATTCCTTGCCAACATCAACAGCAACAACAGACCACAATAAGCATAAATGGGAAGAACCTGAAAGAAACAACCTCCTTCACCTACCTGGGAAGCATCGTCTCAACTACAGGCGGAACTGACGAGGACATCAAAGCCAGAATCGGAAAAGCAAGACAAGCTTTCATTACTCTCAAATCTGTGTGGAGGTCAACAGCAATCAGCATCAAAAATAAGATCCGGATTTTCAACTCCAATGTGAAGTCAGTGCTACTATACGGATCAGAGACTTGGCGAGTCATAAAGAGCATCTCAAACAAACTTCAAACCTTCATTAACAACTGTCTCCGCTCAATACTCAAGATCAGATGGCCAGAAAAGATCAGCAACAGGGATCTCTGGGAGCGAACCAATCAGGAACCGATTGTGAAACAAATAGGCAGAAAGAAATGGAGATGGATTGGCCATACGCTGAGGAAACCATCAAGTGACATCACTAGACAAGCCCTCGAGTGGAACCCGAAAGGGAGGCGGCGAGTTGGTCGTCCAAGGGTGACTTGGAGGAGGTCATGTGAAGAGGAGATGAAAGCATGTGGGCAGACCTGGAGCAGGGTGAAAAAGTTGTCAGAAAACCGAAGTCAATGGAGGTGCGCAGCTGAAGCCCTATGTTCCTCTAGGAACTAAAGGATACAATAATAATAATAAATAATAAGTAAGATCACAATGGAATTACCACAGTTCATTAAAGACGCTTAAATTATGATAATAATAAAGATATAATAGCGAATAGAATATCAACTGAAATTAGGAAAATTCCACAAAAAATTGAGGATCATTCAAACTTAGATGGCCAAGGTAAGGATAATGTCTGAACTAGGTTCTTTGAACGCAGAAATTAGGCTTTTTAATGTGGATCCCAACAGCCAGCCTCAGCAATATTTAGTAATTGAACTCTTTAGGCAAAGTTAAGATTTGTTAGAATGCGGTTAATGACTTTGAAAGCCGCCTCGTTGACATCAATCGTGTGTTTTGTATCCACAAGATGAGATAGAATAGCGCTATGTATGAATAGATTTTGTTTGTCCTTTATTTAACCAACGAGGCAGGGTGATGTTCGGAAATCCGACGAGAAACACGCCTAATTGTACGGCCTATGTAACTCGGTCCACAGGAGCAGTTAAATTGCTAGATACACATGGAAGAGGCGAAATTAAGCAGTTTATCCTTTACTCCCGAACCGAAAAGGGGAGTGGTTTTGAAGACACAGCGTTATTCGACAGCACAGAATGCCTTTTTTGGAACTGTCGGTACCTTGGGCTGCCTTGATTTTAGATTCATATTCTTATCAATAAACTTCCCCGGATAACCGTTGCTCTTGCTCTGTGGCAGACAAAGCACTTTATCAGATTGCGTTTGTATTTTGAGGGCACTAATATTGTTATGGACTACTTATCTAGAATATTCTATATATATAAACATTTATATAATTGTAGAGCCAGAAGACTCTCTGTCTGTTTTTGACATAGAACTTTGAACCGATGTGCAGCATTTCAAGTCGTCACACTCCATGTAGCACCCAAAGCAAGAGAAAAAAGTAGACGAAATGCAAAATAGAGACAGTAGACTGGGATATGAGACAAAATGAATAGTAATAACGAAGAACAATATAGTTTCACTGGAAATCATAAGTCACAAGGAGTGGATGCATCTACGCCATTGAGAACGATTTTGATTGTTTCCAGCCTTCATTGGTTTTACTGTCCCGAAGACCCCAACCAGGAAGTCTAAACCTTCCTACGTGGCTGGCTTAAACTAATTGTTGTGGATTTCATTGACTAGTACCATGACCGATAGCTGCTACCTTGGCGTGGTGGTCGGGCTTGCTCATCGCGGTAACCCAACGAGCTACACTGGCTGGAACTATTGTTCCTGCAGGTCCTACCATGCCAGGAATGTTGTTAGGATAACGATCAGACTAAGAGCAGTTACCGGCATAGTGTAAGAATTTTTCTTACACTATTCTGGGGGTCTGTGGGCGAAGTCGTACTGCTGGGGAACGAAGGTGTAACAGCAGTGAGGTATTTCCCTCAGATGACCAGCTATGTTGTCTCTCCACTTCAGAGAGAGGGGCTTAGAAAAAGTCGACCCCAAAAATTGCACATCTCGACTTACCCTACGATAGTGGTCCGTAACCGGGGGTAAGTTTACTAATACGGAACCAAACCAAGAAACCAGTTCATACATACCGTGTGTGACCGGCTTTAAGCAGTTGTCCCCTGGGCTGTGTGGTCACACAACACTAACCTTCTTTCTGTTTCAGGTACCCGAAGAATTAGGCAACTTCCATGGTGTGGGCAGCCGGGAAGAAACAACCACCCACACACTTCCAAAAGAGCCAGAAGAGGAAATTATCGAAAAGGATATTTTTCGTTCAATTATTTTGTGTTGAATTTTATTTGATATTCTATTTACTATTACATTTTTATGCTTATTATTATAACTTATGAATCTTTTTTATTTATTTTTTTTTATTCCTTTACGTTCGCAGTGGAGCATAGGCTGCCTTCAAGTTAGAGGCCTGAAGTTTCGGTAACAGGAGTGTCTATTTTTTTACGGGATGAGGTTGCTAGCCAGCCTCATGTCCAACTTTCCCTCTTTACTAGTCTGATTACTGGCTTAGTGAGGTAAAGGAGTATATCGGCCGGGGCTCAAACCCCCGAACCAAATGTGGCGTGGTCGACGAGCATTCTGTCGCTGCGTCATCGGCTTATGCATCTTTCGTCAACTGTAATCCCATTGTGATCTTACTTAACAAATCGATATTACTTTAAAAAAACACCAATATTGTTATTGACAACTATCCTGGAATATATATATATATATATATATATATATATATAAATCTACAGCGCATACTTCAATTCGATGAAGTGAGCTTTCAGATTTCTCCACGAGTTTATTAACCATTTCTATTGGTCGGTGACCTTGGACGTGATTGGTTTTCTTTGTGTGCTTTCACACCATCTAGGTTACTTGTATTGGAACTGATTGTTTCTTTGGCTTGAACTTTGACCCTTTGTGTGTAAGGTTTCTTTCTTATCGATTGATAAATTTCGTCTATCTCGATGTGTCTATTGATTGATGATTCACTGGAATCCCAAGCTTCTAAAAATTCTCTAGCATTCTTGTTGTTTCCTCTGTCTAATATTTGAACGCTGGTTGTCCCTGGTTGTCTGTATGAGGTGAGTGATATGAGGGAGTGGATATCATGTCATTTGACAGCTAGCTCGCGTTCGTGGATACAAAGACGAAGGGGACGTCCACTTTCGCCAATGTAATGTTTTTTGCAGTTGTTACAATTTATTTTGTAGATGATGTTGGTTTTATCTTTTTCCGTTGTTGAGTCTTTAGGTTGACATAGAGTTGAGTGAAGTGACTTTGTTGGTTTGTGTGCGACGTCGATTCCTCAAGGTTTGAAGAGTCTTGCGATGATTTATTTCTGATATCCTTTATATATGGTAAGGCAATTTTCTTTGTGCTTTCCTTGTGGGCTGTTGGTTTGATAGGTTGACTTGGGGGTATAGGTCTTTTGGTGAAATTCCGTGGATATCCATTCTTTTGGAAGACGTTCATGAGGTATCTTTCTTCAATCTTCCTTAAGGTGGGAGTGCTGCAGTGAGTCGTTGCCCTCTTGAATAGTGTTTAAATGCAATTTCTCACACACAAAGGGTCAAAGTTCAAGTCAAAGAAACAATCAGTTCCAATACAAGTAACCTAGAAGGTGTGAAAACACACAAAGAAAACCAATCACGTCCAAGGTCACCAGCCAGGAGAGATGATTAATAAATTCGTGGAGAAATCTAAAAGCTCACTTCAATTCAAATTGAAGTATGCGCTGAAGATGTCGCTTAGTAGGGCGATGAAAGCTTCGCAAATTAACTATCCAGCTCAGAGAACACAAGCACCTCAATATACGTATATATAATTGTAGAGCCTAGAAGAGGAAATTGTCGCAAAGGATATTCTATGCTGCTCAAATTTCTTTCCTTCTTCTTAATATCTGATATATTGCAAAAACACTACCCGGATCAAGAGGTGATTTCCATTTTCCCTCTTTCATAAGCAGCATTTCTTTAAAACTTGCAGGAACATAATCATCTTCATCCGGTCCAGGTGGACGATTGCAGGATTCTGGGTAAAAACGCAATAAAAACAGAGAAATAAGAGAAAACATACTCAGATTTGTATTGTTTCCACCAATATTCTTAAGCTTTTTATGCTTGTTAGTTTTTAATCGACGAGTATACTGCACAGGAGTTTTGTTGGCTATCCGAGATTGAACAACTTCTTGATACTTTTTCTGACGACTGGTAGATTTTTGCGCTTAAAATAATTTAAACAAGATAGAGAAAATATTATTCGAAGAATACCTACCTTTATGCTCAGTCATCTTACTTTAATAATAATATCTTTGATGAATGACGATTAACTCATTATGGTGGAGTTGGCAGAGTGCAGTGGAAACCTGAATTTCTATAAATAAATAAAAACAAAGCAATAACAACATTATCGATTTGTCAAGTTCACAATGAAATGACCACAGTTCATGAAAGATGCATAAATTATAATAATAATATGCATAAAAATGTAATGTCAAATAGGATATCAAATAAAATTAAGGAAATTTTCACAACAAACTGAGGATCATTAAAACTTTGATGGTCAAGATAGGTAAGGGTAGCGTCCGAATCAACTAGCTTTCTTTTGGATATATACATAAGTTAGGTTTCTAATGTGGATCTCAACAGCCAGCCTCAGCAATATGTGTAATAGACGAACTCTTAAGACAAAGTTAAGATTAGCTGGTATACGGTAGATAACTTCGAAAGCCGCCTCGTTGACAACAATCTTGTGTTCTGTATCCACAAGATGAGATAGAATAAAGCTATGAATGGATTTCGTTTGTCTCTTGTTTAACCAAGCAGAATGATACGTGTTTATCGTCAGATTGCCAAACATCATCCTGCGTGGTTACGTAGAGGACAAACAGAATCCATTCATACCTCTATTCTGATGTGGTTTTGTTCTCTGAGCTGGATGGTTAGAGGACAAAACCACACCGCAAATTAACCATCCAGCTCAGAGAACAAAACCACATCAAAATCATCCACCTGAGCTACAAATCTTCTCTATCATATCTATACCTCTATTCTATTTCATTTTGTGGATACAGAACACAAGATTGATGTTAACGAGGCGGCTTTCAAAGTCACCTACCACATACCGGCTAACCTTAACTTCGCCTTAAGAGTTTGTCTATTACACGTGTTGCTGAGGATGGCCGTTGGGATCCACATTAGGAAACCCAACCTACGTATCCAAAAGAAGAAGTTGGTTCAGACACTCTCCGTACTTACCTTGGCCATCAAGGATCTGATGATCATTAATTTGTTATTGTGGAAATTTACTGAATTTTATATATATATATATATATATATATATATATATATATACATTGAATATTCTAGAACAGTAGTCAATAACAATATTGGCTTTTTTTTAAGTAATATCGATTTATTAAATAAAATCACAGTGGAATCACAGTTCACGAAAGATACAGAAGTCGATGGCACAGCAATAGAATGCTCGTCGACCATGCATATGGTTCGGGGATTGAGCCCCGGCCGACGAACTCCTTTACCTCGCTAAGCCAGTAATAGGACTGGTAAAGAGGAAAGATTAGGCATGAGGCTGGCTAGTAACCTTATAGACACTCCTGCTACCGAAACTTCAAGCCGGTAGCTTGAAGCCCTATGCTCCACTGGGAACGTAGAGGAATAAAAAATGATAGAAAAGATGCATAAGCTATAATAATAATAATAAGCATAAAAATGTGATATTAAATAGAATATCAAATAAAATTAAGGAAATTCCCACAACAAGCTGAGGATCATTAAAATTTTGACAGCCAAAGTAAGTAAGAACCAACTAGCTTTCTTTTGGATACATACATAAGTGGCGAAGTTGAAGAACAGCGTCCCAGGAGTGCGAACGCTCAAACGACCTTGAGCGCATGCTAGTTATCGGCTGAAGAAATCTACGATTATTCTAGCGCAAAAGTGAACTCTGTTAATCAGCTTAAGTGTAAATTTCACCCAAATCAAAGTTCTTCAATAATGCCTGGATAAATGACTGATAGGACGTACTCGTATATGAAGTTGCAGTGCTTTAGTGCGCCTGAAACCATATTCGCACGTCACCGATAGATAGATATATTTATATATATACGGAGTGTAGGAGACGAACGAGTGTTCGTACTGCTGACTGACACTCTTAGTTAATTGTCTCCTAGGAACTTTCTTTGCTAAATCGAAACTTTCTTTGACGAATATACTGTTAACAGGATTTCATCATGAGCTGACATTAGTTAGAGAACCATTGAAAAACCTGGGACAGTTTGGGGCTCTTCAGCTTCACGCAGCCATACCGCGGGGTTCAAACCCAGGACCTTCTGGTTACAAGGCGAGCCCGTAGACCATGAACCCACTGGGATCCGATCCAATGGCCAGACCGTGAACTCTAACTTCTGCCAATTCGCGACATAGTGCGACCCCTAGACAATGTCTTCGGTGAGTATTTGTCCTCACACCTGACCTTCTGCACCCTACTGGTCACGACTTCTCACTAGAACCCAGGTAACTACCTACCTGAATAGGGCAAGTTGCTAGTGATTCGAATATATTCTTTCTTTGACACTGCTGGATTCTGAAGTCTGGAGTGAGGTCAACTGGCGTTCAGAAAGAAAATACTTCAACTTTTCGAGATTTAGCATCATGGAAAATGAACAATATTACACGAGTGTTGGGAGGAGTCGGTGTAATCGTTTACATCGACGAAACTGCTGAAAAGACATTGCTTGACTGGATCCCAGTAGATAGCCGAATGTGTGCTGTCCGTCTGAACGGATCAGTAAGAAGGAGAAAGGACTGCACTACTCGCCGATGCCTTTTCGTAATCTCCGCCTACGCCCCCACTGACTGCAGTTCGGATGAAACGAAGGATGAGTTCTACCAAAAGCTGTCTAGTTTGGTGAGAAAGGCTAAACGCTCAGATATAGTCGTTCTAGCTGGTGACTTTAACGCTCAAGTAGGGAAATTGTGTCAATCTGAGAAGGATGTCGGTGGCACCTATGGAGTTCCGTGCCAGCGAACCGACAACGGTGACCGTCTCCTACAGTTCTGTTCAGATAATCATTTGTTTCTTGTAAGCACTAACTTTAAACACAAGGAGAGACACTGTTTAACCTGGCGACCCCCATCATCAAACCAACGCTGGACACAAATAGACCACATAGCAATAAGCTATCGTTGGCGTGGGTCGGTAGGAGATTGTCGCTCCTTCTGGAACACGTGTGTAGATACCGATCACGCACTGGTCCGGGCTCGTGTGTGCTTACGACTGAACGGACGTAGGAAACAGCTGGCGGTAAAACCATCACGTCCCCAGCTCGATCAGGAAACTAAATCCCTATTTGAGGAAGAACTAGCTAAACGCATATCTGAATTCGACAGCTGTGCTCACCCTGGAGAAGCCTGGAAGAATATTCAGTCAGCTATAGATACAGCTGTAAAAGCTGTGAATAAGGCAAATCCAAAGGTGAGTAAAAACCACTGGATTTCGACTGCCTCATCCGAACTGATAGATGCTAGAAGACTTATTCCGGCGAGCTCCGAATTCAATGAGGAGCGAAAGCTGCACAAAAGGAAACTTACTAAAAGTCTCCGCAAGGACCGTGAACAGTGGTGGGTGACAAAGGCGAAAGAGATGGAAAAAGCATTGGCGATAGGCAACACTAGGCAACTCTTTAGACTCATCACAGAATCGGGCGGGAGAAGGCAATTCATAAGTGAGACTATTTCTGAGAAAAATGGCTCCTTAATTAGCTCTCAGGATAGACGCCTTGAACGCTGGAAAGAACACTTTGAGGAACAATTTAACTTGCCTACAGCCACACTGAACCTCCCCGCCATCCACCACGTACCCGAATGGGATATAGACACTGGTCCGCCGTCTGTAGGTGAGGTTACAAAAGCTATCAGTAATTTGAAACGAGGCAAAGCGGCAGGACCCGACGGAATTATTCCGGAGGTGTTTAAATATGGGGGTGACATACTAGTTTGTAGATTAACTGAGGTACTAGGCAAAGTCTGGGAATCAGAGACAGTACCATCAGACTGGGGTAAGTCACTTATTATACCGATATTCAAGAAGGGAAACAAGTCCTCGTGTGATAATCATAGGGGGATCAGCCTAACGAACATAGTCTCTAAAATCCTAGGCTCAGTAATCATGCATAGACTAAGCAGAACTCGGGAGGAACAGACAAGGGAAAATCAAGCAGGCTTTAGACCAGGTAGAGGGTGCATAGATCATATCTTCACTCTTCGACAGATTCTAGAACATAGACACACTTTTCGGCGTCCAACAATTGTCATATTTCTTGACTTGAAGGCGGCCTTCGACTCCGTGGATCGAAAGGTACTATGGCAATGTCTGACTGTGAAGGGAGTGCCAAGAAAGTACATTGCACTAATCAAGGCACTCTATTCAAACTCACGTAGTCGTGTAAGGGCTTATGGGGAATTGTCATCTGAATTGGTAACAACCAGTGGTGTCCGACAGGGATGTCCACTTTCCCCATTTCTGTTTAACTTCATCATAGATATGCTAATGGAAGTATCCTTAACTGAACGTAGTGACTTAGGAATCGACTTGTTACCAGGGAATAATCTAATGGACTTAGAATATGCAGATGACATAGTCCTGTTAGGGGAGGATGCTGACAAAATGCAGAGTCTTCTGAACACCTTGAGCAGCAATCTTCGTATGTTTGGCATGCGATTCGCCCCTGCAAAATGTAAGATGCTGCTACAGGACTGGACCACGTCAACCCCTAACTTAGTGATAGGGAGTGAAGTGATAGAACATGTTGACCACTTCACCTACTTGGGAAGTTGTATTAGCACCAACGGACTGATTGGCGATGAAATCTCAGCACGGATCCGAAAAGCTCGAGCTGCTTTCGCTGACTTACACCATCTCTGGCGTAGGCGTGACATCCGGTTATCAACCAAGGGACGTGTGTACTGCTCATCAGTTCGCTCCGTCCTTCTCTATGGCTCTGAAACATGGCCAATACGCGTTGAAGACATGAAAAGGTTGACTGCTTTCGATCATAGATGTCTGCGATCTCTGTCTCACGTTAGGTGGTTTCACAAGATAAGTAATGTTGACGTTAGGCGTAGAGTGTTGGGCAAAGAGGGAAAATCAATCGACGAGGCTATAAAGTTACATAGACTAAGATGGCTAGGTCACGTGCTGCGCATGCCTAACCACCGCCTCCCCCGACGGGCATTGCTAGCTGATATAGGTTCAGGTTGGAAAAGAGCCAGTGGTGGCCAAACAAAAACATGGCATCAATCCATGAAATCCTTGACAGTTAAACTGAGTCAGGTAGGGAGATGCAGACTCCC